CTCTTATACACAGATGTATGTAGGACAGGAGTGACGACTTGGCCATCACAATATATCACTAATTTATTGTTATTGTAGTATCACTCTAAACAGCGTGTGTGTTGTGAAGAAGCGTCTGAGGTGCAGTAAGTGTTAGCTAATTTTTTAAGTGCCGTGCATTCAGCCTCTCTGTGTCTGCAATATATTTGGTGACACTTGTTATTTAATGCAGCATAAAAATGTAAGTGGCCGAGTCATTAAGATGCTGCAACTCAGCTGTTTTACTGCCAAAACGGCAATATCGGCCAGGGAAAAAAACTTTTTAAATAAAATGTTGTTGTTGAGATGGAAACATTTAATGTATTGTTTTGTTTTTGTTTTTTTCTCAGTAGCTGCATAGTACCATATGTTTGTTATGAACCCAAAGCGGGAACACATTAGTACTGCTTATTCACTTGTTTATTTACCACAACTCATGTCATTATCACACCACTCATCAAATTTATCACATTTGCTAATATTGGGCAGCCTTAGCCACAGTTGTCGCATTCATTATTTTTTTAGAATTTTATACTTCTTGTTTTTTATGTCGATTGTTTTTCAATTATTATTGACAATGCAGGATTCTGAGCTACGTTTTCCCTTTCTACTGAATTCTTTAATATCTTTAATTTTCATGCTACTTCTCGCACTTGTAACAATAAATTAACGTTTATTGAATAATTATTTTTGCCTAGTAGGGGAAAACATTAAAAATGTCTTTATATACAGTATTAGGAGTTTTGGACCTCACAAAGAAGTGGGGTTGTGTATATTTGCTCTGCCTTAATTACTTTTTTTTTTTTTTTTACTTACCCTGATCGACATACGTTTCAAAATGGTGTGTGGTCCAATTCAACAGATTGCAGTATTGCAAAACAAATCAAATTGCTCGAACCTAAAAGTGACGCAGTATAAAAATCCACAGTAGAGTTTTCCTTTGAATGACTGACTTCTTAATTTGTTTCAGGTTTTCAGATGTTAAAGTTGTCATAAAAATGTGATTATATCAAGCAGCCATGCCAAACTCTGGTGAGCTTGGTTTCCTCATCGTATGTTACCGAGTAATTCAGTTCTCCACACACACAAAAGTCCCAAACTGATTAATAGTAGTGCTTGTAAATAAGCTACTAACAGGACCTGAACCATTGAGCATGGTGGTTAGATAAAAATGACTGAAGTGGTCAGGTTATCCAATTAGATTAAGTCAAGTGTGGTTTGTTATAAACAGATTAAGCTGAAAAGACTAGAGATAATTGAAGTTGAATGTGTAATACAACTAACTATATATGTAAGTGTATTTATCAATTACCTTTTATGTTGCTAATAAGTGTGTGTGTATATATATATATATATATATATAATATAAATTGGCTGGTATTTTTTTATTATTATTTTTAAAACCCAATAAATTGAAAACTATGTTAAAAGACTTTACTGTATATTATTAAAGTGCAGGTGTCCAAATTTCAACCAGTTACGTGCAGACATGGACCAGCATGAGATTCCCATGGTGATCATACTGTAATTTCAGAACAGAAAAGCATCAGTTATACCTTATGTTGCTCAAATAAAACACATTAATTAAAGAAGTTTGATACTGGTATTATATATATATATATATGCATAAAGTAGAAGAACAAAATACTCTAAGCACAGGAAAGGTTTAGTATTCCTATGAACAACAGTGCATAGCACATGTGGTGAAGGAGCAGCACTAAACAAGTAACATAATAGAAAAATGTTGCTTTTTTATTGCTTTTTATTTATTTATTTAAACTTTGATATACCTTGATGACAAGATTGTACTTCGACACTTGCTGAGATCTTTGCGATCAACTCAGAATAAGCTACTTTAGTTGATTTTGCAGTCCACAATGAAGTTAGAAGGTTTCTAGGTGTTTTTACAAAAAGGAGCATTACGTGCTACGCGCTCCACCCAGGTTCGCATATTGGGGATGTTGCGCTGGAACATAAAGTGTATCATTGCGATTAAACGAGAGCAGTTAATGCCCGTTTTTAGTATGGAGCCCTGCTTTCCTGTCAATCATTAACATCATTCTGGTCGTTCTGTTGGCTAATATTAGTCTGCCTACACAGCACACTGACACAGTTTGTATGCAAATAACACAGCCTTTTTGCTCTGAGATTCTAATAATACAACACCACACCCAAAGATAACACCAAATGTGACAAGTTGCCAGTTGTTTTTCACTTTCCACTTGATTTGCCACATGAAGGCGGTTTTTGTAGTTATTCGCTTTCTTTTTGTTTCTCTGACATGTTGCTCCGTTTCAGAGAATTGCTGCTCTTCTTTCTGAAACTACACTCCGGGGACGACGTTTCGTGTATTTCTGCTCTTACAATAGAACTGAATTTTAGCTAAAATCATTGGTAAGCGAAGAGTTTGTCTAATGGACAGAACAGTGAATTTCAAATGCCAGAAGACTTTTCTTTGCCCACACAAGGTTCAGTGGCATATGTGACCCTTGCCTGTAATGATACCTTAATGCACTGGATACACACTGTAACAGGTGGTGTGGGTTAATGATTTTCTTTTTTAAACCTTTTACAAAACATTAGGCAAGGACACCTTATATGCATGTTAGTCCCAGCTAGTTTTTATTTTTATTTCTTTGAGTGTTTCATCAAAACAGCAAGAAATGAGAGAAACGTACACTTAGGATGAAGGATTAATGTGATATAGATGTTGATTTTATTTTTTTTTTTAAATGTGCATTAAAAAGTAGCATTTACAAATGTCGCACATTTAAAACTATGATTAAATATCAATCAGTCCAATTTGCCAAACAGGAAATCTGACACAAACACACAATTGATATAAATATAACTTGATTAATATCGATAACGTCTTGACGTCAATAGAAATCCCCGTTATTTTCCTAATTGATGTAATGAGAGGTGACATCATGATGGCATCACCTGGTCAATCGGTCTGAACCTGGTCCCACAGGCATTAGTCATGAACCTGTTTCTGACAAAATCCTCATCTGAGGTTATGCTCTTTTCCTTTTTTTTTTATGGGCCCGTGAATAAGTTAGGGTTTTGTTTTTTTTGTTTTTTTTCCTTTATGGGTGGGGGTAGAGGTGTCATTCTCAGGTCATAGGTTTAGAAACCTTTTTGTAATTTTTTCATAAACTGAGTCACACTCTACTTCAGAACATTGTGTAAAACATCCATGTCTACTCTTTCCACTTGCCGACACCTGGAATTTTACAGGTGAGCAGTGCAGCAGTTTGTTGATGTCATTGGATCTGTGCGACTATCTCTTCTTTCTATTAGCTTTTGTTTTCTATATAGAGAAATATACCAGTGGTATGATTTAAACTATATATAAAAACAAACTATAGATTTGTTAATCAACATCTTTCGTACTTTATGCTATTCAACAAGAAGCAAGGAAATTCTTATACCCCTTAAGTATAAGTCAATGGATCCGTGAGAACGCCGTTGTCCTTATTACAGATAAGGGTTTTTTTTAACCTCTTTTTATTTATTTATTTATTTATTTATTTAATTTTTAGATAAAACCAGATTTTTTCATTGGAGAAGTATTTCACTGTTGATAATGTTGATTTGGTTATGAAGTCAATCTTTGGCACGTAGTGACAGTTTGTCACAATTTATTTTTTTTTTCCTTTTTGCACTTCATAGACTTACAATTTTATATAATTTATTAAACTAAAGAATTTAGATGTGGTCCTTTTATGTTTTTCGTAGAGGAACATACCCTCAACTTGATGTGCCACCACCTTTCCTGAAAGTTGTTTCAACGATCTTGTATCTATCTGAAAGTCACACATTTACTCCTCCAAACATTCTTCTTGTAGTTGTGGTCAAATACCTCGACCCTTGACTTCTAAAGTTTTCTCCAGAAGGCATTTGGCTTCTCCTTGTGGAGAGGAGCAAATTTCAGTCAAGATGGGTGGCGTCCATTTTTGGAGCAGGTGCCTTTCTTGTCGGTTACCTCTGAGTCCGTGGGTATGTTAAACTTACACCACTGCTAAAGGAACAATGGTGTTGAGGCCTTTTCTGGTTCTTCATGTCAAAGCAGACTTTGGAAATGATACAGTGGGCTAACTCTTAGCCTCTGGAATGTCCACTGACCTCAAGTCTTCAGAAATGTCTGAACTATGCTTGAAAGCCAGGTATGTGCCAGAAAACCAATTAATCAAATAAACTTTACCTTTTCTGATGAAAAAAATAAATAGTGGTCGAAGATCAAGAACAGATTCTGTCTGAAGAATATTGGTTGTTGCAAAACTCTCCAGCTAGGTATAGAACATTTAGCCAAATATTAGTGACACGTATATGCTTATTTAAGAGAATGTATTATTTCAACGATGCGTGAATTTAAAGGGAAAAACAAATTTAAACCATACTCCCCATTAAAATCTTCTAATTTTTATTCCTGCTGATGTTGACTGTGGAGAAAATTTAAGGTAAAAACAAGGAAAGATTCTGTTTCATTGAATTTGTGTCTTACTGGATCCCCTGTATGTGTCTGTGGCCTCCGTCTATCAATGTCAAAAGGCAGATTTTAGTAATCTGAAGCCTGAGTGATGAGGATCCATCGTCTGCCAGTGTCATTGTGTTCTTCCTTGTTTTCTCCTTCCTTCGCTGCTCCCACTCTCATGCTCTCTCTTTACTGTGGTCAAGGATGGGAACACTGAGTACCGTCGGCACATTTTTCACATTCCCCTATTTTGAGAGGTTCAACTTCAACCCCCCCCCCACTGAAAACCTACTCAAACACATGTAAAACGCTACTTTTTCTCGCCAACGGCCAGTAAGGCCGCCATCGGATGTTTTTTCTGTACCTCATGTCATGAATGACCTAATGACTAGAAAACTTTTCACGGCTTGGTTCTTAATTTAAACATTTTTTTTTTTTTTTTTTTTTACTTTTAGTCTTTTTCTAGCATGCTTGTTTTTAACGCCCTCTTTCCTCTCTCCGTCAGCGTCGCGTTGTGGACGGCAGCGGCAAACATGACGGAGTACAAGCTGGTGGTGGTGGGAGCTGGAGGCGTGGGCAAGAGTGCGCTCACCATCCAGCTCATCCAGAACCACTTTGTGGATGAATATGACCCTACCATAGAGGTATGACTGCACTGCACGTTCTGTTATTCCTGTGGATATGTCACCCAGAGCTTGAAGTGGCACAGAGTAGATCACAATGCTAAAAAGAAATAATAATGATAATTATTCCCTCTTGAACTGTTGTGTTTTGGTATTAGTTCTGGGGGTTTTTCAACAGTGGATGATTTATCTCTAGTTTTAGAATCTATCTTTATACTTTGGAAATATTGGGCATAGGGGCTCGAGTCAGATTTTCACAGTATGGTAGCCTAATATTCCATATTATCAAAATAATTAAACAGAAAAACGTCTAATGTATCAATTTCATGTAATTGCCTTTATTCGTGGGCAAATTACAGCAGCAAGCTGCATTAATCTTTGGTTCTTCCTGAGTGAGAAAGCTCAGGTCGCTCAGGATCTTCGTCTGGTGTGTCATTAAATGCACTCTAAGCTGTGGAAATGCTTTGACATGACATTTTAGCGGCTTGGATGGCAGAAGCACAGAGCATACTGTGAACCTCGCTGACATGAAGGCTTGATCTGAGCCACGTTTCTCTCACTAAATGCACCGGATCTCCTGTCGATTCTCCAAACTGGTCAGACTTTGAGGAAGTTTGCGCGACCCTTACATTTTACATCATCGTGGATCTAACATGGAGGGAGAGGTTGCAATGCTTGTATCAAGAAGGCAGCCAGGGAGAATATTTTCCTCCTCTCTTTTCTCTCTTTTTCTGTCAGTCTCCCCTCTCTCCCTCACTTTCTCACCACGCCTGCCTCTGGCCAGACAATGTCCTTTTTGTGTATTTGCATTCCTGGCCCCTATGCTCGAACAAACAAAGGGAGAGCATTCCATGTTTTTTTGTGTGTGACTGCATGTTGGAAGGCTAAACATTGGCTCCGATAACGCTGCTCCTCTGATCCCCTCATTTTTCATGTGATCTGAAAATCTGCCAAGATTTAATGGGAAGTTGAGATGGATGACCAAAATCCAGCCACGTCCATCTTTCTGCTGGACATCCTTCCTCACAACTCGGTGACCCAACAGCAAGACAATGTCAGCTGGGATATGTAGCAGCCTACATCAGATCCCCCTTGAACTATTTGTTTGTAATTCACATATTTAGGCAATGTTTCTATTTATTGTAATTTCATTTTCCTCCACTTGCGATACAGTTTATTAAAGATAAGTATTTTTTTTTAAAAAATCTCTTTAATATGGACTTCTTGTGGGGGAAAATGATAACATTCACGAAGGTCTTGGAAGCTAACAGGTTGGTCAGGTGCATGCTGTATAAATCTCCCTCATCAGCTGATTTGGTGAATCAGCCAAACATGATTCCTTAGGGTTCATTTTCAGCAACAGCTAGCAGCCCTTGAAGGCAAAGAGGATCAGAAAACATTCTGTTTGATGTTGTAGCACAGCTGACAGAATCTAAAGGTTTACTCTGGTTTTTTTTTTTTTTTTTTTGGCAAAAGCTAAAACACACCGGAATATTACAGCCTACGTAGCGGATTGGTGACACTGCCAGGCGCAGTTTATGTAACTCCATGGCCGTTGTTTGGCTGGAAAAAGAGGTACCGAGTGACCGTTGTGAAATTGTAGATCCGCTGAGGCTTGTAGCCCTTTCATGCAAACACTTTCATTTTGAGTTGACTTAAGTTGCCAAAGTCATCAAATGTCTGAATAGCTTGCTAGCCTTTCACTGCCACACTTATCTATTAAAAAAAAAAAAAAAAAATCTCACAAAATTCTGAGTTTAGTCATTTCTCAGAAGTGAAAAGAAAAAGGATTTCATGGCCTAAGCTGATGAGTAAACTTCACCAACACCGGATAGAGGCTTTTAGTAAAACATGGAACGCCTTACTCGAGGTTCGACTGATTACTTTTTAAACTTGGCCTGGGTCTGCGGTGACCCAGTTCCAGCATCCGTCTCTCGGGTTGGATGAGTCCAGTGTCAACACAACAGGTGATTAATCGCTCTGGGGAAACTCCCAATGCTGGCTGGCGGTTCTGTTCCTTCCAGCATAGACACTGGATGTTTAGATAGTCACAATGATGGGTTACAACAGAACTGGTTTGCCAACAGAGGGAATAAACAGAAACCTGTAATCTAACAACAATTTCAATCTAACTTCACGCAGGTTAATTACTAAGCCTATGTACAATGTGGACAAACAACATTTGGCATGGCCGTACTAAAGGAACAGGCGATCAGCTAATTTCCTGGTTTTGTGGTGGTGGAACTTTTCTTTTATTAACAAAATGAAATTAATCTTTATAAACCTGTTTGTTCAGTGTCTTCAAAGATTAACCTTCACATTTTGTTTTTGCACTCTGATAACAATACTCGAGCGTCCTCATGTTTTGAACATCCCAGTCTGCCGCCTGAGTTATTAAATTTGACCAAATGTGGTTAGAAAAAGGACTTTTTCTGTTTAAATGCGCACATTCCATCCGTGTCTTCTTAGTCATTGCAGGAGTTCAGCATTTTAAGTAAGGTGTGTGTTGCAGAAAGCTATAAGTAACACTGTGACGGTTCTGCTTTTGATGTTGCAGTTCCCGAACTACAAAGACTCTCTAAATGTTCAACTGTTCAGTTTCTGCAACAACTCAGAGATGATTCCCCTCACCGTCCTCCTCAGGACTGTTGGAGTACTATGCTTTTTTTTTTGTTGTTGTTGTTTTTGGTGCATGAATTGAAACATTTGAGTGTCTCCTTTTTCTGAAGGACTCCTACCGGAAGCAAGTGGTGATCGACGGGGAGACATGCTTGCTGGACATCCTGGACACTGCAGGTCAGGAGGAGTACAGCGCCATGAGGGATCAGTATATGAGAACAGGAGAGGGCTTCCTCTGCGTCTTTGCCATCAACAACACCAATTCTTTTGAGGACATTCTCCAGTACAGGTTTGTTGAAGACATCCGGATACACTTGTATGTCATTGTTAGTATGTCTGACACACAAGAACATTGTTTTGTCTGCTTCTTAGCCTTTTTGTACGTGTCTACACGTATATATGAATATGTTACGAGGGCTCCTGTGAGGTCTGGATTCAGAGGGCTTTGTGTCAATGTGTGAGTGTGCCAGCTCTCTGCAGTAGTAGGGTGATGTCATGCTGTAGCGTTTAACACAAGCTAAAGAAAGCTTAGCCCCCAACTGGAGGCTTACAGTGTGATGCCAATGAAATTGATCCTGACTCAATTAGAGGAGCAGGCAGAGGTAACGCTCCCAAGGACAGGGAAAGGAGAAAGCCAGCGGGAAGTGGGGGAGTTTCTGCAGGGCTCTTTATCTTCGCCAAATTTTGTCTTTCTCATCGCATTAGGCTGTGATTTCAGAGCTTTTAACACAGCTCAGTTGAAAGCAGAACGCGTAGAATCGGCGTTAGAACAGATTTAGGAAGAGTTTGAGCTTTCGAGCTATTAAAATAGCCCTCGTCTGTTTTTTTTTTTTTTTTTTTATAGGCGACGGTCGAGTTTTTCACTCGAGTCCTACTGGTAGCTCATGACGGTGCATTAAAATAGCAGTGCTGACTGTCTGCTGGAGAGGATCATATATGTGGGGTTATAGTGTTGCATTAGGATGAAAATTGACTGAGCTGACAGTGGCAGAAGCTTCCTGCTGTACATGAGTTGATCTGATGTGACCCACTGCTCTCACTCAGTCGCGTCCCCCCCCCCCCTCCGCCCCCAGGCTGCACAACGTTTGGCACTTGCTGCTGTAGTGATGAGGTAATGCTGTTTGCCGCCTGCCTGTTGTCTATCCCTCCACCTCCCCCCTCCTCTGTTTCTCCCCACCGTCCTCCTTCAGCAGTGCAGCACAGCCCAGCGTAGACCTTGCCACGGCTCTACCTCTGGGTCCTAAAGTTCCCTGGGTGATGGGTTGCTTCTCCTGTGGAGGTGCCCGGGCTGTGCTTGTTTACGGAGTCAGGAGGATTCCACAGACGTAGTAGACATGTTATTGTGGATTACTGCCTACTACAAAGGACTGCGCAATATGTCACAAGTGTATCACTGGCATGTATTGTGTGCAATGTGAACATCACCACAGACTGTTTTGAATGTAATAATTGGTGGCATTTTGTATTCAAAGTTTTAGGAATTTGTGCTTTGCATATATCAACAATGCTTTCGTTTTCGCTATAACAGATGCAACACAATGCAGGGTACAGAAAATACGTTTGTCTGTTTTTTTTTTGTTGTTGTATTTTTTCACAGCTGATGTTGTAATCACATGATTTCCCAGTATTGTCCAGCCCTAATTAATCCATAGCTTCATTAATCCTTAGATCACCTGTTGGGAGAAACAGTTTTATTTTTTATTTTTTGTTTTATGTAAAATGTAATCTCAAATTCTGCAATCTTTCAATTCACAGAGAACAGATCAAGCGCGTGAAAGACTCTGATGATGTACCCATGGTGCTTGTGGGAAACAAATGTGACCTCCCAGCACGCACAGTGGACACAAGGCAAGCCCAGGAGCTTGCTCGCTCCTACGGGATCCCTTACATTGAGACCTCGGCTAAGACACGACAGGTAGGTATTCAGAATCTGTTTTTCTATTTTTCTGTTTCTGTTTTTCTTTCGATGATACGCATCCCCCCCCCCCCCCCCCCCCTCCCCTCCCCCTCCCCGTACACTTTCTTTTTTTTTTTTTTTTTTTT